TAGGTCTGTATCCTTGAATGGGACCGGAAAGCAAATATCTAAGTTTGGAAGATACAGCAGTTGGACCGGGTCCACGAACAATGTGGTCTCCCACGAAATCCCAGTAGTAATCTGCGCCAATGAGAATCGATATTTCAAAGGATTCGCTTCCTGAAATGGGGTGGGCTAAGTTCAAATTGCGTAGATGAGGTAATTCCAATAGGGACGAAGTGATCAAATTCGCGCCCGGGTGATACTTCAGACATGTATTCAAGATGTTAGCGATTGGATGTCTTGTAATTTCCTACTTTTGAATGTGTCGAAAACTGAATTTGTGTGCATGTCGTCTCGGAGATTCTCACAAGACTCGTGTCCTTTGTCTAGTATCGCAATTGGTGAAGAATTGGTTAGTGCTTCGTCAAGTGCTAGAAACTTAGGTGTCTTGTTTGATTCGCAGCTATCTATGGAAACACACATTTCTACTATTTGTAGATCTGGATATTCCCATCTAAGAAATATTAATCGTATTCGTAAATCATTATCCCAATCTGATACTGAAAAGTTGGTACATGCTTTCATATCTTCTCGCTTAGACAGCTGTAATTCATTATTGTCTGGTCTCCCTGTAACTAAGATAAAACCTCTTATTCGTGTACAAAATGCAGCAGCCCGCCTTGTCACTCGTGCTCGAAAATATGACCACATTACAGACATTTTTATTAAACTTCATTGGTTACCAGTTGTACAAAGAATCAATTTCAAATTACTTTTACTAGTGTATAAATCTTTGTATGGTTTGCCCCAAATTATCTATGTGAATTAATCGAATTTTATGTACCGAGTCGTAGTTTAAGATCTGAATCGAAGTTTCTTATTAAAACTCGTCAGATGTGTAGTAAAAAGTCCAAGGTGTTATACAAAGACCGTGCTTTTGAAAATTTAGGTCCTAAACTTTTTAATGAATTACCTCTGTCTGTTCGTTCTAGTCCTTCAGTAGACATTTTTAAATCCAGACTGAAAACGCACTTATTTAAATGTGCTTTTAATATTTGACTGATTGTTTATTGTATCAGCGCCTTTGATCTTCATATGTTGGAATTGTTGCGCTTAATTAAATAGAGTTATTATTATTATTATTATTATCAAGTTCTTTGTGGGAGTGGAGATGTTTGGAACAACGAGTGCGGAAATGTTCCTTTTCTTTCCTGTAATGATGTGAACTGAAAGCGTAGAGACATTAAACGATCTAGCACGTGAACCATTATCACCAAACGTTGCTAAGTTAATGACTTCACATTTGTCAGTTTGTGCATTGAGTTTATCGGCGAAGTTTGTAGTTTTGAAAGATCACGTGGCCCCTTCATCGAATAATATCGTAGCCGTTGTAGTTTCGCTAACCGCGTATACTTCGGTTATGGCGGTTTTCAATAAAACTGGTCCATTATGCGACGCGGTATTCGCGGTAGTAGTAAAGTTCACGTGTGTTTGAGTTACTGGAGTAGTGGAGCTCGTGTCGTTACCAGTAGAGGTTCTCTTACATAGAGAAGTGTGATGTTTTCTCCTGCAGGCGCGACAACTAAATTTAGATTGGCAGTCCGTAACTTTGTGTTTA